TTTTTTTTTTTTTTTGTGTTTATTTCTTCTACGCATTTCAGTAAACGTATTTACAACAACAACAACAAAAAAAAGCGACAAATTTTTGTTGTACAACTGAAAAAAGAAAGTTAAAAAGTGAAAAAGTATTAGGTATTTCAATGGGTGAAAAAAGGTTGTACCGTATAAATGAATGAATGATATTAATCAGAAAAAAAAAGCCTTCTTTTTTTTGGGAGAGGGGGAGCGATTTAAAATGAATAATAAATTTTAGTTTTCTTTTTATTTTTTTTTAATTTTTTCTGATTAACATTAACATTTATTTTTGAAAATAAAACTTTTTTTTGATTTTTTTCTACTAAACAATGTCAACAGTTTTGACAACGTTTACATCGTTTGTTTTAACATCGTTGACAGCAGTTCAACATCACCAAAATGTTTCCAACCTTTTTCCCACTGATCACCCATCCACATTGAACAGTGTAATCCGCACGATGATTATCAGCTATCTGACTGCTGTTCAGATGCCAGTTTTTCAGAAATCTGCTTGATATAATGTTGAAAAAAGAAAGAGGTTTTAATGTTTAAAACATTACACAGATTCTGTGTTTTCTACGTATTATTTCCATTTTTTTTTTTGATTAAATTAAGTTGAAATAAAAAAAAAATTGTTGTCATTTAAATCAATGCCATTAATTATATTCTAATAAAAAGTAAACAAGTTTAACAGCAAAAAAAAAAAAAAAAAAAATGGCAATTAAATAAAATAAATACAGCAGACTTGTTGTCAGGTTTTTTTTTGTTGCAGCTTTAGTTCTTTTTTTTTTTTTCTGCTTAGCTATCAAGAAATTTTTTTAAATCATTTATTATGTAAATACAAACAAAAAAAAAGGAAAGAAACAGATAGCAACAAATTAATTGTTGTACAAAAAATATTATGAAAACGATAAAAGATTGAATAAATAGTTTTTTTGTGTGTTGATGTTAGTTTTTAAATTTGTTTCAAACAACATCAGTTTTTTTTTTTTTTTGCAGAAAATAAACCAGAAAAAAAAGAATGCGAAGAGGGGTTGAAAAGATTGAGGTTATGGAATAAGACTGGACCCAAGCTTCAGTCTTAAGGGTGATAATGTTGTACACAGAAGACAACTTACAATTGTCAGTAGAAGACAATGAAAAGGAAGCATTTTCTCTTCTACTTTTTAAACATTAATTTTTGGTTTTTTTGCTTTTCTTCTTCTTCTTTTCAGCATTAAAAAACAATAATCTGTGGCAAAAACAATTGTACAATTTGTACATACAATAATAATCATTATAAAAAATATATATATATATTTGCAAAGTTATTATTATCATCATCATGATCATCAACTGGTTTTGCCGATTATTTACATGGCGCTGTTGCTTTATGGAATGAGTATAGGTCATCATTACAATAGCCACAAGATTGTCGACAAACTCGAATTGCAAATTCAGCATCCGAACATGAATATTTTCCCATACCGTTATTCTTGAAACGACGACAAAAACTGATCGAATGTTTATCTTTACACATCACTGGTGCTTTGAAAATTGTTCGTGCATTGTCCGGATGAATTCGATCTTCAAAAGAAAGAAAAAATTACTAATTAAACAACACTGTTTCCTTCAGTATTTTCTCTTTTTTTGCTTGACTAATAAAAAGCCTAAAATTACAAATTTTTTTTAAGGTACAATAATCAGCTGCAAAATTTGTAACTATTTTTAGCTGTGTGCTCAAATTAATGGCCTCCCTGTTTTTGCGTCTCGTCTTTTCCATTAAATTTTTTATAAAAACAGCACATTTATACACTGTTCAAATGCGGTAACAGCTTTTTTCTTTTGCAACACACTTACAATTTTCGATGTAACTTCGGCATTCCATACAACAGTCAATGGTATGAAAATCGTGATCGTTTAAGCATCGTTTTTCGAAGAGTTCAGGTTGAAATTTCCTCAACGCCTGACATGCCAATTGTCCAAACCGATCTCTACAACACGGAAGCGATGCTGCATCTGAAACAACAAATCAAATCAGTTGATCAATCATCACTGCTGCTTCTTCTTCTTCTTCTTCTTCTTCTAATTAGATTCTTTCATCTTTCATCTCCTTAATTTTTTTTTTGTCTTTTTCTGTTTTATTGTTCATTAAAACAAGAGAGAAAGAAAAAGAAGAAAGCTTTCCTCTTTGCCTTCTTAACATTTCAACAACCTCTTGAAAAGGTTATTTAAAAATTAGACAAATAA